CTTCCTTCCGAGGAGTGGCTGGTGGGTTTGAACTGCCAGCCTTCTGGTTAGCAGTCAAGTGCCTTAGGCACTATGCTACCAGAGCTCCTAGATTATAACAGCATTCTGAAACACTGGTATTTCACCTTCATCCAAATAATTTGCTAAATTACTTCCAGCTACTCTTCTAGAAGCAGAAAAATCTAAGATTTATCAGACTTGCAAAGGAATTGATGATTGATATAAGTCCTAAAATAGGTATTAAAAATAGCTAGAATCATTTTTTTAAATTACGTAAAAAATCTAAGTTATTTTCTCCAAAGTTCAGACAACTTAACTAATGTAATACAGACCTGTTAACCTTATAAAACTACGATGAAGATAGTCAATAAAAGCAACTTATGAGATTCTACTCTTTTCTGAACTGATTTACATAACTCATGGAAATTATGTATCACTTGTGCCATCTCTTAAACTCTTGTGTCTATTACTTGGTTTTACTTGTTTTGTCTTTCAAATTAAGGACATGAAGCCAGAGATTATGTCTCTTACTTCTTTGTAACACATAGGCCCCTACTCAGTGAACATGCCCAATAAATGTTTCTGACTGATAAGCTGCCAAAGACTGTGTAGTAAATGGCAAGATAACAAGACGATCTAAAGAAATTTTTCTTTAGCTAATTTTTCTTAGCTTTTCTTTGTATATGAATGGCCATAACAAGCAGCGTCAATAACTTGCCGAATAATAACATCAATATAAAGTGTTATCTGTTACTTACCCAAGCTTACTAAGATACGGTAATACTCCACTTGAACTGAGGTAATGTGTAACCATCCCACTGCCCGGAGATAAGCTTGTTCTGATATAAGGTTTAACATGCAGACCAGCTTCAACAGCCTTTTTAGCCAAAAGACCTGCACAGTCAACAAACAATGCTTTATTATGGCAATCTTCCTTCCCTTCCTTCATTCAATACTAAAGCAGGAAGCAAGAATGACTTTATTTCAATAGACTGGTCTCTACTTCATGCTATGGTAAAAAAACCCAAATCATGAATTTATTGTTATCAGTCCGTGCATTTCATTCTAGTAATTAAAAAAAAAAAAAAAAAAAGAAGATAATAGATATATTGGCCTTTACATTGTAAATTATTATATCATACACCAGTATCATGGCATCATGCACAATAAGAGAAAAAAAAATGATGTGCATATATACTATTAACCCAACAATTATTAAAGTGGCATAATCATAATAAAGGACAGTAGTCCCCAGGTAGAGTAAATAAATGGTTAAGTGCTCAAAAAGTTGGAGGTTCAAACCTACCAAAAGGCACATCAGAAGACAGTTCTGGCAATCTGCTTCCAGAAGAACACAGCCTTGAAAATCCTAAGAAGTAGTTTTACTCTGAACACATGAGATCACCATGAGTTGGAATCAACTTGACAGTAACAAACACCACCACTCACAATAAACTAATAGCAATTTAACATTTACTGTGTTGTTGTTCCACCCTTGTCTGTCAGCTTGTTGTTCTGTGGTAGGTTTCATGTTGCTGTGATGCTGGAAGCTATGCAACTGTTATTTCCAATACTAGCAGGGTTACCCATGGTGGACAGGTTTCAGAAGAGCTTCCAGACTAGGAAAGATTACAAAGGAAGACCTGGCAACCTACTTCAGAAAAAATCAGCCAATGAAAACCTTTTATAAATAGTGAAACACCGTCAGATACAGAACTCAAAGATGAGCCCTTCAGGTTGGAGGGCATGCAAAACACCACTAGGGGAGAACTGCCTCCTCAAATAGAGTTGATCTGTTCATTTCCTATGCACTGAAAATATCTTTTCTCAACAACATAAATGGCAACTATACATGCAGATCTTGCCATATAAAATACACAGGAATAAAATTGACTATATTTGTGGAAAGAGATGATAAAGAAGCTCAACATCATTAGTCAGAACAAGGTCAGGGGTCCACTGTGGAAAAGACCATCAATTGCTCATATGCAAGTTTAAGCTGAAGAAAATTAAAACAAATCCATGAGAGCCAGTACAACCTTGGGTATATCCCACCTAAATTTAGAGACCAGCTCAAGAATGGATTTGACACAATGAACACCAATGACCAAAGATCAGATGAGTTGTGGAGTGACATAAAGGACAACATCCATAAAGAAAGCAAAAAGGTCATTAAAAAGCAAAGACCAAAATGGATGTCAGAAGAGACTCTGAAACTTGCTCTTGAATGGACAGTAGATAAAGCAAA